TGCTTTGAATTTTTCCAATGATCAAATATACATGATCAAGCTGTGCTTGTTAGGGTATGAGGACCTCAAAACGGTCAATGGTTATTGATCAGACTGTTAAGTATTTGTGCACGATTCTTTATATCCCAAAAGATTCAGGGAAATGAACAGTAAGAAATTGCATTAGAGTCTATCTTTGTTTGACACAGATGTATCAAAATAGTGGATTCATTGCCAAACCGATTGGAAAATGTGTGCTGTATATTATCACACAAGAACTCCAAATATTGAGGTTACAATTTCATCTTTTCTACTGTCATTGGTAAATTATAAACAGCAATTTCAAAATTTAGGACATCATTTTTGTATAACATAAATATTGAATAATTGATAAGAGCAGATTTTATACAGGAAAAACAGAGATGGAATCATAGCTTATCTGTTGGCCCTCACACCTTTCCTTGCATTTTGAATTATGCCACAATATATTTCTTTAACTGCACTTGCAATAATATTGATGTAATAGAATAGATGATAACAGGAAGTTCTTTATTTCTGTCACTCCTATAGAATATCAAACCATAGACAAATTCAGCTGTTTTCATTTGTTTTGGTAAAAAAAAAAAGTTTAGGTTTTTTTATAAATGGTTTTAATTAGACACTTTTTGTTAGTAGATCTGTATATTTGGCAAGTAAACCAGAATATTTAAAGCTGTCCTTTTGTGTTTCTTAATATTTATATTATGTCCAATAGATAGCTAAAATGTCTTCAAAAATGTATAATTTTGTATCTTTTTGTTTTTGAATTTACTGTAGTTAAAAAATTTGTTTTGCAAGCCAAATTATTTCACATGGTAAGAGAGAACCTAATGTGTAATTCTTGTGAAATCATATAAGAGGTCTACTTTGAGTTTTATTATGCTGTAAATTAAGTGAATTGACAATACCTATCCTGCATATAGAAATCTCGTAAGATAATCTTATTATATATAAAGAAAACTAATTAACCTAAAAATAATGTTCAATAATATTAGCTTTGAATAAGTCTCAGTATTTGTGTGTGTGTGTGTATAAACATGCACCTTTGTATACATAAACACAGAGATATGATATGTATATGCACACATAAACACAAATCTATAGATACAGATTTATATATACAGAAATTGCAGTTTATGGAAGTATTAACAGGGTACACCTTGAATATATCCTGCATATTTTCAATCATTTTCATATTTGGTATCTCTAAACATATCTTAATATTTTTCCAAATTCAAATTACACACAAAGTAACCAGCCCCACTTGTACTTATATGAAAACTTCAGATAGCATAAACTTGGCAAAATGTCACTGATTGGTTGGAAATGGCCTTTCACCTTATTGTGTCTGAACTGCCACTTAATTAATCTGTTCTTGTTTGAGAGCTGACAATGTTCAAGATAAGCAGTATATTGAAGAAAGCACATAGAACTTTAAAGGATGCACTATATTCATTTTTTTAGTGACAGAACTTGAATGAATAATTTATTTTTACTTAAATATGTCTATAAGATGATCTCATCTTTTCAATTTTCTCCTTAGTTCTCCATTATAATTTATTGCTATTGCAAATATTTACTTACATAGGATATCTGTATCTGCCTTTACATTTGTACTTTTGTCTGCTCTAATCGCCCGCGTTAGTTCTGTAAAGTTTGCATCTGGTTTCCCTACCTGCTTGCTGTATTTTGAAAGTGTTTTTCCAAGACATATGGTGGGCATTTGGTTAGTCCAGATAAAGGTTTTTAGTGACAAAATATTGACTGGATTTGGTGTTCACTTATGAAGAATGACATTATTTCCACAGACATCTCAGCCATATACATGGAATAGTTAATTAATTAAAGGACCTGCTAATTGCTACTTGAGTCACAGTGCAGAGCTGATGAAGAGCGCTTGGTACAAGGTTAGGTTCTCTGTTTTAAAGAACATTTTAATTTAAAAGATTTCTTTAAAGTACATCTGAACATTTTTTACATTTTTCTTCTGGTTCCTATATCTGGTTCACACTCAAGTGTTCAATTGATCTTCAATTAATGATAATATATAGTCAGGGTTCTTCAGCTGGGATAAATTGATGGGAAGCTTTGTTTCATTTGGTGCAGGTGGCACTGTTTAATAAGCACAAGAAAGGGTGAATAATGTAGTGTTTGCAAAGAGAAATAAATGCAAAATAGAGAGTTGCAATTAGAGCAGTTCAGAGAAATAGAGAATAAATATTAAATGGCCAGATATCTTGCAAATTTCAAATGAAATAGTAATCAGTATCTGATTGCAAACTGCCATATTAATTTATGAACGTTTAAACGTACTGCTTTAAAGTAAATTTGGTGAGCAAGTGTGCTTGCATGAAGCCCACACATTTCATATCTGACATGCACCATAGTTCTCATTTTAAAACACATTGTATGATTTTTTTCTCTGATACTGAAATAAAAATTAAGTTATAAAATCTCAAGTATAACATCAACACATACTCTAACAATTAGCTTCTGAATTATATTGTAAAGCATTTCAAGCTTTGTTTTTATTTAGTCAGGTTAATTATGTATGAGAAAAATTATACTACAGAAAATCAAAGTGTGAAAACTTGCATACCATTATTCATAATTTAATGGTAAGGGGCTTGCTAATGATTTTCACACATGCAAAAATAAAGTAAAATAAAGTTGCGGAATGTAGGTGTTTTTTTAAATTAATATGGTAACAAAAATCTGGCCAGGTAGAATCCTTGAAAATGAAAAGCTTGTAAGGACAGATATTGCACATCAAAAAAAAAAACCAAAAAACAAGTAGATGTCATTGGAGTTGATAAATGACAGAGGAAAGAGAAATGATGTTTGATTTTTAAAAACAGACAAACTTGATTTCCAATGTGTGTCTGCCAGGTAAGAGGATACTGTTATGAACTGATTAACAAAAGAATGTGACTGTATTAGGCATTTCAGCAACACTTCTGCATCTAAAAATTTCAACTGTAGACAGATTTTCCATAGACGATTCCCCCCCTACTGCTAACCTCTTAAATATACCTATAAAATACAAAATGTTCCCAATCACAACCAATGAAGGAGACTTCCTTACATTAAATGAGTCTAATATTGTGTTAGGAATCTGAAGTACTTTCTGATGTGGTTAAATTTGGTTATAGAACTGAAAGGAATATACTCAGCACATCTCTCTAAATATTTGTAGCTGGATACAAGGTTTAGTTAGCGATTAAGTAAAATATGGACTGAGTCATATTCTTAGTCTCTGATTATTCAGAAGAGGCAGTGCTAGTGGAGTCTTTCACTACAAACCCTATTTTTGTTATGTAGCAGTGTTTACCAAATCCACAATATACCCAATCAGGGCAGCCCCCAAAACATCTAGGATTGGTTGATATGGAACTTGTAAAATGTTTATGAGTGAGTGTTTGCCTGGCAATGCAGTTCTTGGTGCCCTGCTGTCAGAGTGGAATTACTGATACTATTACATAGTGAAAAAGGGCAATGGGGGAGGACAGGAACTTTCCCATCTAAACTCTTTATGTGCATTTAGACACAATAGTTTTCAGTGAGACAAAATACCTTCACCGCTTTGTTAAAACAAAATCTGTTTATGCTAAGCAAGAAGTGTATTCCTATGAAGAATTTTACTGCGGTTATTTGAGCCTTAACTGTACAGTCTTATAAAGTAACCAGATTAGCAAAATGGCAATTAAAGAACTCAGAAGTATTCTGGACAAGATTTTAAATAGATTAACATTAAGGAGCAGTTGCAGCAGAGACATCTTGTTGCAATATTTACTTTTGTAACATACATGTACTCTTATACCCTCTGCATGAAATTTAACTTGTATGATCTAAGTACTATGTATTTTGTTAAAATCATACTTCAAGTATTATTTAATGACAGATGCATGATGATTCAGGATAGAAGATTTAAAGGCATCAACAAAAAGCTATATTCCCTAAAATAATAATCCATTATTTATCTAAAATACATAACCATTGACCTACCCATTTGTATTTCCTTTACTGATTCACTGTAATAAAAATGAAGATTTTGTCACCACTTTGGGAAACTGTGCCAAACACCTTAAAACACCTGTCACATGCCAACTTCACTTCATTCCTCTCCTCAGGGAGTAGATACATCTGGAATCATAATCACAGATAAAACCTTGACAAAATTGCCTATGAGCCCAGCCCCTCTCCCCAACATCTACCTTTTCATCACATTTAATACAATATTAATATCGGTTACTAAAAAGGCTTACAACCTTTACATTTCTGACATATCATGTTCAAACCTATATTTCACACTTCTTGTTTCCGTTTTACGTTCAGTACACTTAACAGGACTCTGGAGAGAAGATCATGTGGCTGAAGATTCCCCTCCCTCTCTGACACACATAAAGGCGTTTTCAGAATTGTTCAAATACCTACTGTCCTATAAACTAAAAAATCTAAGACTATGTATATCTTATTTAGGTCTGAGATATGTATATGTACACACACACACACTTACAGGGTTGTATTTATTTCTGAAGCCAATTGCCTGTATCAATGACAAAGCAATTTTTATACAACATCTGGGTAAATCATCCTCAATATTTTCCTTAGAAACATTTTTTATTCTTCTTGCAAATCAGACAAATACAATTAGCTAATTTTATAGAGTAATACTATCTGATCTTATTTATCAATGATTGACAGATTTTCAAATCAGAATAAAACACATTCTTTGCTGATCATCTTCTGGAAAGTGGGCTGCTTGCATTGTCTTAAACTAGGTATATTGCTGAGATACAGCAGGGGAGCTCATTCAGATTGGAGCAAATGGTGAGATTATAGATCCAAGAGATGCTACCCTGCCCCAAAGATTCTGGGTTTAGATCATATTTAGTTGCTGAGTCCCTGGAATGGTATTTTTTGACACGTGCTAGTATAAAACATTCATCAACTGATGTTACAAACAAATGCAATTGGAGAGGTTTGTAGAATTTTCATTTATTACTATGCTTGTAATTAATACCATGCTGAAATATCTCAGGCAGTTCACTCTATTGCTTTGTTCATGTTAGACTGGTGACAGCAATACATTTCGATACATAATTAACAGTTTAGAAAGGCAATAAAAATTTAAAAAATCCGCAGCAAATATAATAGACATCTCTTAAGCAAAGGACATTTAAATAGGTTGCCAGTTATTCTCTCAACATCTTTATGTGAGTGAAAAAAATATACACTATGAAATATTCCTGAGACAAACCACTTTAATAAGCAAGAAATATAATTTCCTATGACTCATACACCCGGCTGCACTAGCTGGATAAATATAGTGATGGTGTAGCAAAGAAACAGCAACATAAAATGTACTTCACTCTGGAAAGTTAAAACACCTTTACAAATACATTCATTTACAGTTTAGGGTGATGTTAATATCTGTCCTATTTTAAATAGTCTGATGTCTTTAATAGGATTATACCACTATTCTCTTTTACTTTAAAATGACCCACAGTGTCTCACTTGTTACACAATAAGTATAAAATGGGATAGATGAATGGAGTAATCATTTCATTGAATCGTTTCAAGTCCGTCTGGAAAGCAACTGAATCTGAAGCATGTTAGTCTTTCTCCAGTGACTGAGGGAGATGCAGAGCTGGGCTCCACTTGCTGTCAAGAAGAAAACTGTCTCACATTTTAGGAGAACAGCATCATTGCCTATAAAAATGAAGAAGAGACAAAAAAATAAAACCAGTTAATGTTGTAGTTAACTTGCAAATCAAGTAAATCTGTTGATACAGTATTTTAGAAATAAACGATAACAGCATCACACCAAACACACATTTCTGAACATATAAGACTTTTCATTTTGATTTAATGGTATATCAGCGTCAACTATTGCTTTCTTTGCTGGTACACACTTCCTGATGCCTACTGTGAAGGGTGCCCATATTTACAACTGAGTAAGATGATTAATTACACCTTGTCAATCACGGTGCATGAAGACATAACACCACAGCAGACAATGAAGAAGATGCCTGAAGCTGCAATTACGTTTTAATTCATAGTTTATTGTATGTCCCGTATATTGCAGTCTAATAACCGTATGGGGCATCAAAAACATATGAGATATCAATCACTCTGCCCCCTGCTCTCTCATGTTTATATTATTCCACACCCTTTAATTTGCCATAACTAGTTACTTGTTTTCTGAGCTTTCTTCTATTTTTTCTTACCTTTGGTTTCCATTTATCTTTTATTCGCATTATCTTTATCCAACAGCTATAAAGTATGGATGCAAGTTTGCAGCTCACTTAAAATCTGTAACAGACAACCTGAAACCCAGCAATTAGCAAAGACAGCTTAGACTTGTGTCCCTTTGTTGAAGGAGGCGTTGAATTCTTTTGTTCTGATTTAGTCACGGTAGCTGGGTGGAAGCTGGTACCTCATTATGTGGTTGGTCTGTTTAGCTGGTAGGTAGCAGATGGTACTGGAGATGACGTTACCAGAGAGAGGCAGGGTAGAGAAACTCAAGACCTGTGATTTGTTCACCTGTCACCTACTACAAAATACAGGTTAAGAGACTTTATTATTAGCTTCACTTTTTTAAAATGAATAATTTCCCATTTCAAAAGAGACCCTATTTGATTTTAAAAGATGATTTGTATTACAGTGGTTTTTCCTCTGTTCATTATTCGAGAATATCCTGCTTTTTATTCTGAACAATGTAAATGTCATTCATGTGTCAGTATGTACACTAGCAGCTTTGTGTTTACAATCTATTACTTTCCTTGCTGTATTCTAGTAGCAAGGGTTGGATGCCTTCTTGTGTTTGTATATCACTTAAGAAGATAATCAGAGATAGTAGCCTAAGAACTGGATGTCACTGCCATACCTTTTCAATCATATCACTTCTGTTATTGTTTCCAGCCACTTATTCAATATAATTATATGAAATATAATCTAATCTTTTAGAGATAATTAGCAATGTCTGAGGCCTGACATTAAGTAGAAGAGGCTATGACCTGTTTCAGCTATAAATATATTTAGAACATGTGCAATAAGTTCTGTATTATAGAATTAAACTTGTCTGAAGAGATCTAAGGAAAATACAGTATGTAGATACAGAACACATACAGCAAGATACCTAAGTAAAAGTAATGCAATTATGTTCCGTGACAAGACATGGTATTAGGCAAACAGTACTGTGTGTAACTTTTTACCTGAGTTTTTTACCCCTGTACACTATTAAATGGAGGCAAACCACCCATCATAGAGAATACTAGTGAGGTCTTGCATGTTGATTAGTTGGGAAGGGGTAAATAAAGTGTAGAAAAGAGCAAAAGCCACATACCTGTTACTATCAACATGTATGGTGATTCATCTGTCCCTGTACATTATAATAAAAATAATTTATATATATATATAATGGAGTGAAAGAAACAATGAGAATATGAAAACACAAAATAAACTACAGATTGTCAAGAGAAATACTGTACAAATCTGATCATTCTGTTTCATTTTCTAATCAGAATTAAAATACCAGTTTCCTTTGTTTCCAAGCACTGATAACTTTGGCACATTCTCTGTATATATCCCACAGATGCCAGATTAGCCTGCGTTCTGCACGACTCCTCGAGGGCTCTTGAGGTTTTTTTATATAAATCTCTGTGAGACATAATATGCTGACAACACCTTGTTCCTCACTCTGAGGTGAAAATGTATTTAATCATTTGAAACTATTCAAAGGGAAAGGTAGCAGTGAGTATAGTTTATTATAAAAATGTCAAGAAATACATAAAATCAAGAAAGGAATAAAAGGAATAATTCCAACTGTAGCTAAATGTAGCCTTCTTCACTTTATTACACTTGTAAGAGGCAGACCACTACTACTGCTAACAATAATAATGAAATAATAAACAATAGTAATAATTTTACTCCATTTGTAAGATGCCAACCACTACTGCTAATAATAAAAAAACGTAATAATTTTTATTCACAGGTCCCAAATAAATTCTGGGATCTCATAAGTAAATTAAGACTTACTTTCCAACCTAATCCCTTTGCTACCATAATTAAAACACTGATATTTGACTTCAGAGCACTAAACCTTCCATGCCATCCATCTTCTTGGAGAATATTTATAAATCTTGAGAGGTTTCCTTCGTTTTTTACTGGGGGATTCCTTGATGTCTTTGCCTTAAATTGGGAAGAGGCTTCTCTGGCCTAGTTTTCTTAAAGTTAACTTGGAAAGAAGAGAAGTGAGAAGGATCAATTTGTGAGAGACTCCATGCAGTTTAATGGCACCAATGACAATATTCTAGTTATGACTATGTTTCAGAAGGAGGGTGAATGATGTTGGTTGCATTCAATGAATTGTATATGTTTCAGATCAGATGATCTCTGAGTGTAAACCATTCCTTGACCTCCTGAGTCTCCTGCCGGGAGTCAGTTCACTCTGATATATCCTGCTTGCAGCGGCCACTGTAACATCTAAATCATTTAGTGTTGCCAGTTAGTTAATGCGAATCTTCTTACCGATGCTGGTCTGAGTTTGAGTGGCTGCTGTTCATCTGCTCCAAGCACTCTCTCTTCTGGGTGCACGAGGCAAGGCGGCACTGGATTTGCTGCAGAGAACAGGATCCCTGCTGGGTTTCTGGACCCCCACGTGCTCAGATGTTAGTTACCTAGAGTGATGGGTCTGAAGAGGATGGGAAGCATTATTTTTCTTTTTTTTTTTTTGTTGTTGCAAAAGTGGGAAAATAGCAGCAAAGCCTCAATAGCATGAAAACTCCAGCTCCCCCCCAGCCTACCCCTAGTCATGCCTCTCCCGTCTCCACTCAGTGCCTCCATCCCAAGCACATGCTGCCTGGGCCAGGAGCTGTTGCAGCCAATGAGGGCTGGCCAGGACATGATGTCAGAGAGGCTGTAGAAAAGGCGCGGAGGCTTGCGCTGGGCTGGGACTGCAGAAGCTTCTCTCGCACTTTAAGGGATTGCGCCGAGCGGCAGCAGCTCCCCCCCCCCCCGCCCCCCCATTACTCACGCGGCTCCGCCACAAACTTATGTTCCTGGGGACAGCGGGGCGCACGGCAGCTCCTGGGGTGCATGGTCCAGGGGGCTGTGGGGAGCAGGGGCTGCAGAGTGCCCATCCCCATTGGTGGCCGTCCCACTCTTCACCCCCCGGGTTTTCCCTTTCCCAATGAGAACCGGGAGGTTGGGGGAGGAGCGGGGAAAGGAGCAAACTTTGGCCCCGAGCTGCTCCTGCCGCTAGCCCTCTGGACTGAGTGCCCAGCGTTGGCATCTGCCCCAGCTCCCCTCCCGCCGCTGCTCCCCTGCCCTGCTCCCGGCTTTCTCCTCGTCGGCTTCGCACGGGGCCATGTAGGGGGCTGTCGTTGTTTTCCAGTTTATTTTGCACAGAAGATGGCTTAATTTTTGTCTATTAACCCCCCATCCCCCCCAGCCTGCCCAGCCTCCTGCCAGCTGGGCCGGGGCGGAGTGCCTGGGACTGCTCCGAGGGCGATGAGCCCTGCTCTGAAGAAGCCTCCTAGAGGGACGTGACGGGGCCACGCAACTGACTAGATCCAAGCCCTGAAGCCTGCGACACCAACAGCCCTCCTGCCCCCTCCCCGCAACCTCCCCTGCCCCCTCGCCCCACTGAAACCCGCGGATCGGAGCCTGCGCTGAGCTCCGGAGAGCTTCGCTGCCTGGCGCGTCCGGAGCCCGGCGAGAGACGGGGCGGCCGGGCTAGATGCATGGGGGAGGGCTCCGGTTAATGCAAGTGCTGGGCTCCTGCAGGGACCCCGACAACTGTCAGCTGCAGCCGCAACTCGGGGCCTCCTCCTCCTCCGCTTCCTCCGCGATGCTTTTCCACAGCCTGGCCGGCTCTGAGATGCACGGGGTCATCGATGAGATGGACCGGAGAGCCAAGAGCGAAGCGCCAGCCATCAGCTCGGCTATAGACAGGGGAGAGACCGAAACGGTAGGAGGCGAGAGAGCGGGCGACATACCCCCTCGACCCCCTAAAAATAGCGAGCCCATAACGGTAACAACGCTTTCCCTTAACAAGAATAAACAGGGGGAAACGTAGGCAAAAATCATAACTAAGACGCCTAATAGGAACAAAAAAACCAAGCATAAACGCACCTAAAATCTGCGAAATAAAATCTAGGGGCTATGCATGTACCTGATAATAATGAGTAATAATAACAATAATAGGAACGGACGGATGAACTGAAAGGCACGGCCCTTGCGAGAACAGGAATAAAGCAGCAGCAGCCTTTTGGAAGAGCCCAGGAATTCCTCCTCCCCTGCCCACAGCCTGTCTGGCCTTCTCCTAAAGTTTTTTGGGAAGAGGGCGACATGCTCTTTTATGTAGTTAACGTTTTGGTGTAGCCAGATTTAGGGAGAAGGGACAGCATCCTGTCTGCAAAATGAAAAACACAAACACCAAAGGATTTCTGTCTCTGTTTTTTTTCCAGATGGGATGAATACACTGAGGCAGTCACTACTGCGCGTCTAGTTGCAATGTTATAATCCATTCTTATTATTATTATTACTACCACTACTACTACCAATAACAAATATAATCTGTTCTCGCTACAATGCGACAAAAGAGAAGACGAATTTCAAAGGTTACGAACGAAGACACAATTTTTTCCTTTTAAAATACTTTGCTAGGGCTCGTTTTGTATCTGGTGATTTATAATATTTATGTATTACATTTATGGAGTTGAATAGATACTTCTGAATAAAATAATGTATTCCTTCTAAATGTCTTAAGCTAACTTAAAATCAAGCGAAGAGATTTTCAATTCCTTCAACATTTGTATATCTCCTACTTTTTTTATTAAATAGGAATGATAACTCTTGCTAGGCAAAAAGATCCGTATTTAGGTCAAATATGCCTCTTCCTATAGAGCTGATATGGCCATGTGCACGAAAAAACCTTCCGAATTTGTTTTTAAGTTTTTCTATGTTGTATTATTTTTGTCAGCATTGTGTAGAAAATAACTGCCAATTAGTATGTTTAAGGCTGAAATGACGGCTATAAAAGAGAGCCTTCGTACCTGGTTTATGCTCTAAATATTTTTAGTTTTCTTTTGAAAAGTTTGATTTCTTTTTTCCCCGCAGGTAAACAGTGTTTGAATTAGACAACTGATCTCTCTTGGCATAATTGTTATGACATTTATATATGTAAGCCACCGTGTGTGTGTGTGTGTGTGTGTGTAGTGTGTGTGTGTGTAGT